GTGGAAAAGCTTTATTAGCCATTAACGTTTCTGTCATATTGGTGTAGGAATGCTGCTTGGTGTGTCTCCCTTGCTAAGTCATCCAACTCCCAGAGAACAGGTTACCAAAAAGTAGGTGGTAGAACAGGACATCTTTTGTGATAGCTGCAGACAGTCCTGGTTGGGCCAGGGTTGCCCCAAGTATGGGCCTGTGGGATAAACCCTGCTTCTGTGGTGGTTTTCCTTGCTGGCACTCAGCCCCTGTCCCTGAGTTACTCCTGGCATCAAACCACCCCATGTACAGAGAGGCTGGCAAGGCTGTACCTGGCCTCAGGCAACCGTTGACCTGAGCAGGAGAGGGACAGTGTTTGTGGAGTCTATTCAGAAAGGGTAAAGGCCACCTTTTCCCACTTTAATTCCCTCTCCCCCTCCACCTGTGCAGAGACAGAGAGGTCCTTTGGGGCTCAGCTCTTGCCACTGCTGTTTGCAGGGCCTTGTTCTTCTGTCATTTGCCTATCCCCTGCTCAGTGGAGCTATCATGCTGCCTCACCAGCACATTTCTGATGTCAAACCTTGAACCTGGGGACCTTTTCAAAACAACATGTTGCCCTTTCTCTGTTTGTCCCTTGAGGATGACTGTAGCAGATGATTCCTGGTGCTTCTCAGCCTTCACAGGTGTTAGTAAAAGAGAAAATTGATGGCTGCATGCCGCTTGCTCTCTTTGTGCTCAGTGGTTGTAAATCCAGCCTCTGCTCCCTTCTAAGCCAAGCAGAAACTGCATCATTTCATACTTCTGAAAGCCAAGATGGTCCTTCTGTGATGGACGGACAGAGGAAATAAAACCCAGGGAGTCAAAGTGTGAGACTAACCCTGGAAAGGTAAGACCCAGCCCTGTTTCAGACAAGATGTGAGAGGTTGTGGGGAAGCTGCCAAAGATAGTTGGAATTAAATAATTTCTTGTTGATTGCCCTGTGGTTTCTTCTTGGGTCCCTGCAGGTGGTAAACATTCCAGCCCATTGTCTTCCCACATTCCTCAGACCACCAGGTTCTAGCTCGGCACCTAGGCCTGACTTTTGCAAGCCTGGCTCGACAAATTGATACGCGGTACCCCCTGGTGGTCGTGGGCAGGGGTCTCGAGATGAAGTAAACGAGTCTTCCTCACTCTTGAACTTTTCACCTCTGTCTTGCACGCATGCTCACTAGTCCCCTGGCTTCGGCTCAAACCACAGTTCCAGCCTCATCTGGGTCTTAACCAGATGTATGGTGTTGCAAGTGGAAACTTTGACCACCAGTTTCTCTTATCTGATGTTCTTTCCTTTCTTACACAAGTTTACATTAAACACCAGCTGCACTTTTAGACAAATACTTATTGTTAACTAAAGAGATTAAAGATAATCAGAAGAATAACATAGGTTTAACATTCAGTTATTAATTCAGGCCCCCTATCATCTGCACAACTCTTAAGGGCTTTGCTGCATTGAGGTAGATGCTGACACACACACTGGAGCTTTGCTGAATAAGATACCCCTGTGGTTTTCCAGATGTCACTCTTTTCTCTCTACCCCACACTTAATCTGCTGGAGAGAAAAACCTGGTTCTGTTCCCTCAGGGTTATGACCTGCTGCTGGAGTGATGTTTGTGAACCCATTGGACCATCACACTCTGACTGTGCTAATGTGCAGCCTTAGACTTGGTTTTCTAAACAGCTCACCTGCTAGAAGGGGTTTTTTGGGTGTCACTAAATTCATCACAAAACCACGATAGTGGCCAGCAACATCTGAGCAGGTTGGTATTTGTAGTTTGCCAGGCACAGCCTGCAGCAGAGTTGTAGATATTTATCTGAGCTGAATTTATTCTTAGTATAAGCTAACAAATAAGTCAGTGGAGCTCTGCCCCTTTATACAAGAAAAAAGTACAGTTGGATGCCAAAGGTTAAATTTAAGATAATTCCATCTGTTTTCTCCTACTCCAGGACTAATCCTCAGCAGTAAAGATCCTCCAGGTAGCTGAGACACAGGTCGCTTGAGTCAGATGCAGCTCATGCTTGTATTGCTGGAGGAGATCTGAGGAAAAAGTGAGAAGGTGTTTGCTTTGAGAGCATGGGATGTCCTGTCCTGGTACGGCCACAAGAGAGACACACAGAGTCTCCAGGTCAGTTTTTCGTGGCTTGTATGGCTTATCAGTCATGAAATATCCCCAAGTGCTGCAGTATCAGCATGGCAGCTCTGAAAGCTTTACAGTCTGCACATCCTTTGAACAAGGTCCAAGTTGGTGGGGTTTGGATTTACAAGGGAGTTGCAGCGTGTCATGGGAATCTGGAAATACTCATTGTAAACTTCTGCCCTATGTTACCTGTCCAGTTGGGAAGAAAAAACAACATTAAAGCTCTGCCCAGCGGTTAACCATGGGCTACTTGTAACAACTCAGCTGAGCTAAGGGAAGACAACCAGTTCACATGAAAATTAACAGGTTTTCTGCCAACAAGCAGGAAACTGCTGAAAAATGCCTCAGGGACCCTTCCTAAACTCTGCTACAGAGCTGGTGTTGGTGGGTCATATCTTCTCAGCTTGGTGTCTTTGGGGTTTTCGATTTTGGTTTCTTTGGTGTTTTTTTTATCCCCATAGCATTAATTCTAACTGTTTTCACTATGGTGCCCACACTGCTACCCTGGTGTACACATGGCTCCACTGGCTACACAGTCAGGTTACTCCCTACACCCTGTATAAGATGTTCCTGCTCCTTGGCCTTGTCTTGGATTTCCCTGCTGGCAGCAGATTCTGCATCTCAATCCTGATTGTTTTGTTGTGTTTTCCAGACCCCCTGGGTGAAGCAGACCTGCTGAATGAGGGGGCTCCTCTCTTCTCCCCCATGGTCTCCCACCACCTGCACTTGGACCTTGTTCCTTGCAGGAGCTGAAGGGATTGTATTCAGAAAAAAATAATTTAATTAATTTTTTTTTCTTGTTACCTTCTCAACAGTTATCTCCCCAAATTTAATGAACCCCAGCCTCTCAAGGAAGCAAGCTGTTTTCCTTCCAGCGTGGAGAGAAGAAGGTGATATTGATAACTCCAGTTCTGTGTCCCTGGAGTGGGACAGTGCTTAAATACTGCTGCTGTTCATGTCCTTGTACCAGCATTTTTACCCTGTTTCTGTCTGGGTTTGAAGCTTGAAGGATGGAAATGGTGCCCGAAAGAGGATGGGAAATGGTCCTTTTGTCCCCATCAGGTGAGGTGGCCAGCAGTTGCCTGAATAACCATCTATTTTCTCTTCCCAGGCTTCCTTCCCTGCAGTGCCGAGAAATGGAGCCCCACTCTGTGCAGTGGGTTTGCAGTGCCAGGCCCCTGCATCATTTGCATGGCCTGTGACACCCAGGGTAGTAGGTTCCCTCTTCCATGGGGATGGAAACAGGACCATTAAAACTTCATTAAAGGCCTGTTGGAACATAGCACTTTGGCAAACATTGAAAGGAGCTGCATGTAAAGTATTGCACTGTGATCTGCCTAACTCGATTCAGGTTCATTTTGATCCATTTAATAGCCAGGATGAACCAGGGGATTATCTGGAAGCAAGGTGATGCCCTGCAGAAACATCTTGGCACTTCTTCACTGGGGAGTGGCTGGCGGGATGTGCCACAGAGCATTCCCCTCCTGCTCACCACACCACAGGACCTGGTATTGGTGCTGCAGCTGGTGTTGTGAATCAGGCCGACGACAAGCGCATCCTACTATCCGGCTATTTCACTACACCAGGGTGGCATCATACCACTCACTTCACTCTTTGCCTGGCATCTGGAGAAATCCTGTCTTTGCTGGAACATCTTTGACTGTGCTGTGTTTAACAGACACCCATCCCCAGTTTAAGAGACTGTGATTCATGCTGGTTTGGGCAAGTTAGTGTTTTTGATGGAATGCAAGGCTCTAAAATAAAGCCATTTCTGCTGGTTATGAGTCTGCTGCTGCATCTGTTGTTGTGAGAGGAATTGTTGAATCAACTGGCTTGGAAAAGACTTTTAAGATCATCAGGTCCAACAGTTCTCCCAACACTGCCAGGACCACCACTAAACCATGTCACTGAGGGCCTCGTCTCCGTGGTTTGTGAACACTTCCAGGGATGGTGGTTCCACCACTGCTCTGGGTAGCCTGTTCCAATACCTGATCACCCTCTCTATGAAGAAGTTGTTCCTAATATCCAATCTAAACCTTTCCTGGTTGAGGCTGTTTCCTCTTGTCCTATTCCTTATTCCTTGGGAGAAGAGACCAGCCACCTGCCTCCATCCTCCTTTTGGGTAGTTGTAGAGAGCAATAAGGTCCCCCCTGAGCCTTCTCTTTTCCAGACTAAACCCCCCACCCCCAGTTCCCTCAGCCATTCCTCATCAGACTTGTGAACTGGGTCCTTCGCCAGCTCTGTTGCTCTTAGAAGCAGATGCTGCTAGCATCCACCTCACCTTGCAGGAGGTGTTGCAGGAGATGCTGGAGCAAGGCTTTTTCCTTGTCCCCATCTCACCCTTTTCCCTGTTCCAAGGCTGGGGGTCAGAAGGGGAGGGTTGGGGTGTTCTGCACTGGGATGCTGGGGTGCTGTGAGGGCTGAGCCATGCTGCAGGCAGTGCTGCCTGTCCTCAGCTCCCTGGGTAATGGATCCATACTTGCCCATGTGGGGCTTGTGCAGTTATGGATGGTGTCTGTTCACACATAAACAATCAAGGGGGCTGGAGCGAGTCCTCAAAAAGCAGGTTAGTGTTTGTGCATGAGTGCAGAAGACAGCCAGGTGTAACCTGAATTTTTCATTCACTTGCAAAGCCACACAGGGCTGAAACTCAAATGGGCTGCCCTCACATTTTATTGCCTCATTGCCGTCTTTGCTCATCTCTAACTATCCCATCCTTCCCCCAGCCTCACCTCCTGGTGGCTGCAGGGTGGACACTGAGTGGCAGTTTGGTTTCCGCTTGTGTTTTCTGTGATGTGGGGAAGGGTTTAAGTGATTTATTAAATCAGGGATGGGGTTTGGGGCAATTTTGAACCAGAGAGCTGCCAACTCCCAGCCCTGGGCAGTCATTGAGGGACTCTGTGGCTGTCACTGCTCCATGTTCTCCAGCCTCTCCATCACCCTTCCAGCCCCCTGGCATCTGAGCCCTAGTGGAGGTATCCCTTTATATCACACTCCCCACTTTCCCCTGGTTTCACTCTGAGATAAAGGGGCCATTTCCCTCCCCATGTCCATAACAGCTCAGTGCCACAAGACCAGCCAAGATGATTTACAGGAACTGCAGGGTCTGGCGCAGTATCCCAGGGATAGTGAGGGTGCATGGGAGTCTTGCTCCCATTTTCCATAATAAATCCCAGTGGGAACTGAATGTTCTTGGTCAGGGATGGAGACAAATTCCACACCACATTTTTCTTCTGATCTGCCCTTGGGACTTTTAATCTCAAATCTGTTATTGCCACCCCACTGAGTACTGGAAGGCAGGGATACCAATTACAGCAGGTTTGATATCCCTTCCAGCTAGGTTTTTTTCCCCTGACTAGCTTGGGGTGGTTCAAGCCAATTCCTTTCCCTCCATTAGCAGCAGCAGTGTGTGGGTGCTGGTTTCCTCACTCCAGTTTTGCTAGGTATAAAGCCTTGGAGAGCCCCTGTCTGTCCCATCCCTCTCCTGGCAGGTCCCTTGGGACAGGGCAATGGCTGAGCTGCCCATCGCAGAGCTGCCTCCAGCCTGCTACAGCGGCTACTTCACTCTCAGCACCCTCCTGGACGTGGAGGAGGGTGGTTGTGGTTTCTATATGCCCACCGAGGGCTCCAGTTGTGACAGAACTCACCCAGCTCTTGGGCAGCATCCTCTGCACCAGGACCTTCAGCTACAACATGGTGGATGTCATGCCCACCTATGAGTACTACACCAACAGCAAGAGGGTGGGAGACACTGGGAAAGGCAGACCTTTGCTGGTGAACCTGCACTCCATCCTCAAGGTAAGGTGGGATTCAGCATCCCATGGCCTGTACCACTGGTTCCTGTGATGCCTCTGTGGTTGTGGTTCTTCATCTCCTGCTTCTTGGTTCCATAACTGGTGCTGTGCCGATGTGCACATCTCCGGGAAGGCCCTAGGAGAAGGCAGAGGGATATCCCAGCTTTCTCCAGAGGTCTGCACCCCTGGGGACACCTGGCTGCCTCCCCCCCTCACCTGCCTCCCCCTTGTCCCTGCAGCTGGACCCAGGCCACCTCTGTGCATCCGTGTCTGACCCACAGCGGAGCAATGGGCTGATTGAGGCCAGCTCAGAGGAGGTACCAGGGGAGCTGGGCAGAGACCTTGCACTGGAGCCCATCCACTTTGGATGGGTGAAGGGTGTGATGGTGAGTGTGACTGATCCCATGGGAGCACCCTCTCCTAGGAGAGCTGGCATGGTCCCAGTGCCCGAAGGCTGGTGGTCAGTGTCCCCTCTCTGTCCCCCCAGATTTGCTGCATTCTGAACATCTGGGGAGATGTCCTCTACCTGTGCCTGACCAGGTTCACTGCCCAGGCAGGAATCGGTGGGTGCTGCAGCACAGCACAGGCAGGACAGCAGCACCAAACTCTCTGTCACCCAAAGCACTAGGGGGCCAGTGCCAGCAGCATCAAGCATGGTGGGAGGCAGTGGATGGGGTCCTTGTGGGTCTCTGAGGGAAGGCAGGGGGGTCTATGGGGCTGGGGGGTGGATGGAGATGGACACAGGGTCACAGCTGTGCCCTCTTCCTGCAGCCCTGATGTGACTCATCATCCTGATGTCTGCAATGGTGACCACCATCGCTGGCTTATCCATCTCTGCCATATCCACCAATGGCAAAGTGAAGTCAGGTAGCATGTGTGTGTCCTGGCACGGCCACCACTCCTGGCATGGGCTGCAAGTTGCAAGAGGGGCCAAAAAACGTGCTGGAGAGGCAGCAAACACCACAGGGTGTTCCCACCGCTTCAGGCGGCACCTATTTCTTCATCTCATGTAGCCTTGGGCTGGAGCTGGGTGGCTCCATCAGGCTGATCTTCACCTTCTCAAATGCAGTGGCTGTGGCCATGCACATGGTGGGCTTTGCTGAAACTGCCCAGGACCTGCTGCAGGTAAGACAGCGGCTCTGTGTGTCCCCTGGGTCCCACCTCCGTGCACAAGCAGCATTAATTAATAATATTTACATTAACATTGGACCACTGATAATCAACACTGGCTGCTAAAGTCATGGCAGTCCTGGTGGTTCAGTAAGAGCAAGGGTTATTTCCATGTTGTAGATGGTTCCCTCTCCACAGGAGAACAGCTACCTCATCATGAACCCCACCAATGACATCTGCATCATTGGGGTGGTCACCACAATGGTGCTGTTGGGCATCTCCCTGGCTAGCATTGAGTGGGAGGCCAAGGTAACCCTCACTTCTTCCACTCGCCTTATTCCCCTGGGTTGATATGAGCCATCCCCACTGCCCACCAGGCACCCGAGGAGCAGAGGATGTCTGTAGCTCTACAAAAATGGGCTGGGGTTTCTCCAAACACATTCTTCTCCCTCTCGGTGCCCAAACCCCAACCCCTTAGGTGGCTCTTTCTGCTCTGGCCGGCACAGATACTGTTCTTCCTGGTCATCTTAGTTTACTTCATAAACTACCTGGTGGGGATGGTGATCCCTGCCACCACTGAGAAGCAAGCAAAGGGCTTCTTCAGCAACCAAGGTGACTCAGAAGGGCCAAGCACATGGCTGGAACCTGGCTCTTTGCTGCTGTTGGGGGAGAAGTTTGCTACGGGAATGTGCTCCTCGCTGAGAGATGTCATCAAGAGCTTGGTGTCTTCCTCCCGTGGGTTACCTGCCATCAGCGGTGTACCTCCAACCAACACTGAGATGTTTCAGCCAGGAGACAGGCAGTTTGGAGAACCCAAATGCTTCTCCTCTGCTTCCTCCCCATCCAACATCTTTGCCCAGAACTTCATGCCCAACTGGAGGGGACCCAAGGGCTCCTTCTTCAGCTTGTTTTCCATTTTCTTCTGTTGTGATTTAAGCCCAGCCAGCAGCCCAGAACCACGCAACCATTCACTCACTCCCCCCTTTTACTTCCCCATCTCCTGGAGGGATGGGGAGGAAAATCGAAACAATGTAACTCCCATGGGTTGAGATAAGAACAGTCCAGTAACTAAGGTATAACAAAAAACCACTACTGCTACCACCAATAATAATAATGATAAGGGAAATAGCAAGGGAAGAGAATACAACTGCTCACCACCCTCCGACCGATACCCAGCCCAATCTAAGCAGTGAACTAGCCCTTCCGAGTATCTGCCCCCAGTTTATATACTGGGCATGACGTGCTGTGGTATGGAATACCACTTTGGCTAGTCTGGGTCAGGTGTCCTGTCTCTGCTTCCTCCCGGCTTCCCCTCCTCCCTGGCAGAGCATGAGGCTCACAAAGTCCTTGGTCAGAGTAAACATTACTGATCACCAACTAAAAACATCGATGTTATCAGCGTTGTTCTCAGGCTGAGAGTCAAAAACACAGCACTGCACCAGCTACTAAAAAGGAGAAAAATGACTGCTACTGCTGAACCCAGGACAGTATCCACCCCTTATTCCATACCATTCACGTCATGCTCAGATCCCACATTTTTCAATATACCATCACTCTTGTCTCATATATATATATACACACACACATACACAAAGAGAAAGATATCATTCCTTAGTGCATGGACCAATCCCCATAAAGCTGCTGAGTTCATCCGGTCCATGATGTCGGGCTCCATCTGCTGTAACAGTCTTTCAGAGCAGGAGAGAGAGTGTGATGTAGTCAGTCTGCCAGGCCTCCTCATATTTGTACTTCAGCCATCATCTGTCTTCTCCATGTAGATGTCAACTGGGGCTCCTCCATGCAAGCCAGCTTGTACACCATGGCCCTCAACTACTCAGTGGGGCTGACTGAAGTGGATGAGCACATCAAGAATTTACAGGCAAGGGGTCTCGGTGTGGTGCTGGGCACAGAGGGAGGGAGATGCAGAGCCAACTTCTCCCAGCAAACCCAGGATGGCTTCATGCTCATGGTCACATCCTCACCACCATACTCAGTAACTTGGAGCCCCAGTAAAATGTGTCTGTCTCCAAAGTCCCACATCTTTGCCATGTGGGCAGAGGTAGAATGTAGGGCAAACCTTGCTTCCCTGTACCAGGCAGAGACATTGGTCTTATCTGATATAAAAAGACCTTAAAGAGTGAGGCTGGACCCTCAGCTGGATTTTGCCTCATCCTAAAGATGCTCCCTATAGTTGCTGCTGGCCAGGCATGGGAGAAGAGACATGGCTCATTCCAGAGAGGCTCTGTGCCTCCAAAGTACCAGCCTTCACCACCTTTTTCCTCCCTGCCCACAGGCCACAGTGCCTGGTGCTCACCAGCCCTCCCAATTTTCACCCAGCCCTGATGGACTTCATGAGGACCTTCACCAAGAACCTCAGCCTGATGCTCTGCAGCAATGTGCTGATTGTGAGTCAACTGCAAAAGCTAGTTGGCCCCTTGTCCTGGGGGCTCCGGCCACCAGTGGGGGGCTGGGAAATCCAGATGTGTCCTGGTGGGCTCACAGGGTGGGGATTGAAGAGTGCTCATTATATGCCACCAGATGATGAGATGTTTCATCTGGAAGCCTCTTTCCAGCTTTTTAAGCAATATTGATGAAATACCGGGATGTCCCTGTGGGCTAATGGCTTCCCCTTGCCAATTAATTGACAAAGCAAAAACATAGTAGGACAAAGCAGTTGCTCAGAGGACAGGGGTGGTCCTGAAGCCTCAAGAGCAGTTGAGGTGCAGCAAATGCCAATTCATCTACAGCCATGGGACTACTGGCACTGTGTGTGTTGGCTGCTGACTCCTAAAATTCGCTGGTTCTCTTGCTGTGATTGCAGCCTCCCTCATGTGCAGTGGTTACATCCAGGTCTTGCCAATGATTTGGGAAGAGAGGAGCTGGAGTTCTGTCCTGGGTTCAGCAGTAGCAGTCATGTTTCTCCTTCTTGGTAGCTGGTGCAGTGCAGTGTTTTGACTTTCGGCCTGGGAACAGAGCTGATAGCGATGTTTTGGTTTGGCCAAGGACTTTGTGAGCCTCATGCTCTGCCAGGGAGGAGGGGAAGCCAGGAGGAAGCAGAGACAGGACACCTGACCCAAACTGACCAAAGAGGTATTCCATACCACAGCACGTCATGCCCAGGATGTAACTGGGAGTTAGCCGGGAGGGCTGGGAGACTGCAGGGTTGGAGGAGGTATCGGTCGGTGCTTGGTCAGGCTGAGGGGGGGCAAGTTATCAGTCGGCTGGTGCTGAGGTGTTGTATTCTCTTCCCTTGTTATTTCCTTTATCATTATTATCACTGGTGGTAGCAGTAGTGATTTGTGTTATACCTTAGTTACTAAACTGTTCTTATCTCAACCCGTGGGAGTTGCATTCTTTTCGATTCTCCTCTCCGTCCCTCCGGGAGTAGGGGGAGGGAAAGAAGGGGGGGGGGGGGTGTGAGTGAACGAGTTACCTGACTGGGTTTAAACCACGACAAGTTCCTTGGAGGCAAGATCACCAGCTGGAAGGGCTGCCTGTGCCTGAGCCTTTGCCCCTGCTCCCTGAAGGGACTGTGGAAGCAAAAGATGCCAGAGTCCTGGCTGACAGCAGATGTCTGCACCAAGTGCCTTATGAAGAGGAAGATCAAGTCTTTCTATATGGATGTGGTAGCTGAAAATCTTTGAAGTGGTGTCCAAATGGTGGAGCCTGGGGCCTCTGACCCCCCCCCCCCCCGACCTCCAGGCACCCCCTTTGTATCTTCCCCTGTGGACTGACACTACCTGTGTCCATCTATCCCTGCAGAGGGGTCTCATGGGGACATCTATCCATAGACTGCTGGCCTCAGGAAGATGAGACCCAACATCCTGGTGCTGGGCTACAAGAGGAACTGGTGGATGGTGTCCCCACAGAGCCTGGAGGACTATGTGGGCATCCTGCAGTACATCCACAACAGCTCCTCCACCCCTTGGGGATGCCGGGACCTGGTGGTGGCCCTGTGGTTGGGTGTGGGGATGCCATAGCCACATGCTAGCATTGCCACCCGACATGAAATGGCCACTGTTAACCTCCTCCTCCCCCCTCTTTCCAGTGATGCCTTTGATTTCAAGTACGGTGTGTGCTTGATGAGGATGAAGGAAGGGCTAAATGTTTCCCGAGTGCTGCAGGTGCATGGTAAGTGTTTTTGGGCAGTCAGGGATGCTCAGAGGTGCTGGAGCTGTAGGACATGCCAGCAGGCACCATGTCCCCAGGCAAAGGTCATGGTCCTGGAGACATCACTCCTGGCTGGGACTGAAGGGGCTGGAGACAGCGGAGTGCTGCCTGCTGCCCATGCTCATCTCTTCCCTCTCCAGTTAACTCTACGTTCGAGGCAGCAGAGGAGAACAGCAACAGCAGTAGAGCAGCAACAGCAGTAGAGCAGCAACAGCAGCAGAGCAGCCCCAGGCACAGGTTGGTCCTAGCTCGGGGCTACTCAGAACATCCCTGGCTCCAAGGATTATTTTTGGGAAGCCAGGTTTATAGGCAGGGCTGTGGGTTGGGAGTAGGGATGGGCCTTTAATACATGGCTGGCAGTGCTCCTCGCCGACGCCAGGACCCTCTTGCCCTGGCAGTGAATCCCACCACCTTGGCCAGAGAGCAGCAGGCAAGCACCATCTTCCAGAGCGAGCAGGGCAAGAAGACTATTGACATTTACTTACTCCATTTACAATGGAGGTAACCTTCACCTTTGGCTGTTGTGGCTTTCTTTGACATCCCTCTGTCCACCTAATGTGATCCCAGCATCCCCATTGCCCAGAAGGGCTCGGTCCTTGCTAACTGCACCAGGGCATCCCTAGCATCTGATGTCAACAGTGCTGGTGAGCCCCCAGGTCTGCTGCCACCACCTCTACTGCTGGGTGTTTTGGGGCCAGGTCTCACGCAGCTTATCCCCTACCTCCTGGGGCACAAGAAGTGGTGGGGCAAGTGCAAAATTGGTGTGTTCGTCAGTGGGCAGATCAACAGGATGGATGAGAAGAAGGTGTAAGTGCCCTGCAGCCCCTCATAGCCATGCAGCTACCACTGTTGTCCTCATGGGTGGGTGGCAAGAGCTGCTTCCCCCCTGACCCCCTAGGCTTTGCAGTAACAGCTGTGATCTATGGGCTTGTCGTGGTTTAAGCCCAGTTGGTAATTCAGCACCATGCGGCAGCAATGCCCCACATTGTTGAAATGCTTTTCACCCCTCTTTGCTCTGCAGTCGCTCCAAGTGAAGCTGAGCAAGATTTTGCTGGACTACTCACAGGACATGGTGCTCATAGCCATGTAGGTACCACCAACACCCTCCTGCCCCATGGAAATGATCCCCCTAGATGTTCACTCCCCATGGACTGACACCCTGACCCTGTGGTGGGACGGTGGGGAGAACCCTTTGGAAGGCACCAAGAGGTCTGGCCTGGGTCCTATCGGGGGAGGGGGGGAAGGATGTGCTGTTGCTCCTTTTTAGGGAAATAACCTGCAAATTAGTGGTGGATGGAGAAGGGGACTAAATATGGAGCCTGGCTAGGGTGACTGTGCCTCACTGGCCCCTCGCTGTGCCGCAGCACTCTGCCCATCAGCAGGAAGGGCTGCCCCAGCTCCCTCTACATGGCCTGGCTCGAGACCCTCTCACAGGACCTGAGACTCCCCATCATTCTCATCTGAGGCAACCAAGAGAATGTGCTGACCTTTAACTGCCAATAAAGCCTCCTGGATGCTAACTCAGGATGTGAATTTGTCATGCCAGTTCTGATCTCGGAGCACACTTGCCTGGGGCTGAAGGAGCAGTGAAGGCATCTGGTTGCCAGCTCTTGGGAACTGCTCACTGCATGCAGCTGCCACCCTTTTCCAAAGCCTTGTTTTGCCAATATCAGTCTCTGTAGGCTGTATATAGATATGTAATAACGCAGGCATTGCTCTGGCCCTGGGTTTAGCCAGAGATATGCAGGTGAAGTGTGGGGTCCCATCTTGAGAGCAGGAAGGCGACAGTGAGAATTCCACTGCCCTGTGAGAGCCTAAGTGGTGTGCAGGGATTGACCCACAGCCCTGGCAAGGCCACTATCCGAGGGTGAGAACTGCCTGAGAGGGCAGTAGTGGATCAGTACTAAGCCTGAGGGTTGCAGGGACCCTGCATGTCAACTCAGGGTGAGGGGGGCTCCTGGCCCCAAAACAGGCCAGGCCCATCCCTGACAGCAGAGCTGCAATGAGATGTCATGTCAGGCTGCAGTGCCTGGCTGCAAGAGTGGGTCCAGCTCCTAATGGAGACAAAAATTAACCACCAGAACCAGGACATTCCAGGTGTAGATGGCCCAGGGCAAGGCGGGAACAAGGCTTATTTCTAGCATCTGAGGAAGAGCTAGAGAGTGGCTAAAATGCGTAGAAATGAAACCACCACCATGCAGAATGTCTGACCCACTCCCAAAATGAGGGTTTCAAAGGGAATCATTTTTTTCCCCACAGCTCTGTAAACTCCAGCAATGGCAGCACCTGTAGAGAGGGGGAAAAGCCATGAGCGTGACAGCACATGAGACACATGCTGTCATACCACAGGGATGAAGAGGGAAGTGTTGGAGGATGTGAGACTGGGGCAAAGAACAAGGGGGAGAGGGCTGGCAAAAGCATGGACTGGGTTTGGCATGATAAACCTCAGCCAGTAACCAACACGTGCTGGTGGGAACAAGTAAATTGGTGGTGAAGCTCTGCTGAGGCCTGCAGAAGGTATGGAGATTGGGGAGGGTTTGGACATACTGTTGTGACAAGATCCTCTACGCCACAGCCCACAGACTGCAAATATTACCTAGTTCTAGGCACAGACACCAAACCTGTGTATGTTTTTTCTCTGAGTGCTCAGAAACCTGAAAGCCCACCTGGATCTGCGCCTGACAGGCATGTTTGAAAGCTCTGACAAAGGGCTCGATGTTGGTATGATCCAACTCTTTCAAACATAGAATCATAGTTTGGAACAAGTCCAGAGAAGGGCCACGAGGATGATCAGGGGACCGGAGCACCTCCTGTATGAAGACAGGACGATAAAGTTGGGGCTGTTCAGCCTGGAATAGAGAAGGCTGCGTGGAGACCTCATAGCAGCCTTCCAGTATCTGAAGAGGGGCTATAGGGATGCTGGGGATGGACTATTCGTTAGGGACTGTAGTGATAGGACAAGGGGTAAAGGGTTAAAACTTAAGCAGGGGAAGTTTAGATTGGATATAAGGAAGAAATTCTTTACTGTAAGGGTGGTGAGGCACTGGAATGGGTTGCCCAGGGAAGTTGTGAATGCTCCGTACCTGGCAGTGCTCAAAGCCAGGTTGGACAGAGCCTTGGGTGATACGGTTTAGTGAGAGGTGTCCCTGCCCATGGCAGGGGGTTTGGAACTAGATGATCTTAAGGTCCTTTCCAACCCTAACTATTCTATGATTCTATGATTCAAAGCTCATATAGTCTAACCCCCTGCAATGAACAGGAATATCTTCAACTAGATCAGGTTGAGCAGAACCACATCCAGCCTTGCCTTGAATGTCTCCAGGGATGGGGCAGCCACCACCTCTCTGGGCAATCTGTGCTAGTGTTTTACCACCCTCATTGTAAATAATTTCTTCCTCACATCCAGCCTGAATCTCCCTCTTTTAGTTTAAAACCATCACCCCTGTCGTATCACAACAGGACCTGCTAAAAAGTCTCTCCCCATCTTTCTTATAGGCTCCTTTTAAGAACTGAAAGGCTGCAATGAGTTCTCCACAGAGCCTTCTCTTCTCCAGGCTGAACAACCCCAACTATCTCAGCCTTTCCTCACAGGAGAGGTGTTCCATCCCTCTGATCATTTCTGTGTCCCTCCTCTGGACCCGCTCCAGCAGATCCATGTTTTTCCTGTACTGAGGACTCCAGAGCTGGATGCAAGACTCCAGGTGGGGTCTCATACCAAACATGGACTAAGGGGGAAATGCAGCTAAAACATTCATCTCCTCTCTATTGATTCAGAGAAAACTCCAGGAACAAACTTGCCAACAAAGTTTTCAAGCTGACAAGCAGGTATTCTTTATTGCGGCGGCGGGAGACACGGGGGATAGCAACTCCTAACGTGCGTCCCCGTATTGCTACACAAGCCGTCCTTATAGTCCCTGGGCATGCATACATATTCATGAGGCTACATATGGATTACAACATTTTCCAGAAAATTCCCCGCATGCGTACAGAATTGTGGTGGTGGTCTCTGAGGGTCGTTTACTTCTTCCAACAATCTTCATCACTTCTGGCAGACTTTGGAGCACGCGCAGTAGATGCTTATACCAGCTTAATTGGTTTTGTGATAAACACATAAATGTATTGGCTTTCGCAAATCATAGGTGTGGTTATGTGGATATAACTGTATCAGTTTACAATAAGAAACAAAACTCGCTAAAGACACAAGACTAGACAACAAGTTAAAAAGGTTCAGATCTCTTGATCAAAGAGGAGTCACATAGCAAAAGAATTTGTAAGGGTAAAAGAAAGAAGGGGGGGGCTTGTTATAAGGAAAGCTAGTGCCTGGAAAACATAGATTTAAAGTACTTTTTATCTTAACTCAGGTTGTAGAAAGAGAACAATGTTTATGTTGCAAGTCTCTGGAATGTAGTGTCCCCACTAAACATGAGTTAATTGTTTCACACTAGTCTTCTTTGACCCAGGGAATTACAGACCAGTCAGTCTCACCTCTGTGCCTGGGAAAATCTTGGAGCAGATTCTCCTGGAAGGAATGCTAAGGCACATGAAAAACAACAAGGTGGTTGGTGACATCTAACATGGCTTCACTAAGGGGAAATCCTGCCTGACCAATTTGGTGGCCTTCTATGAGGGGGCTGCAGAACTGATGGACAGGGGTAGAGCAGTTGATGCCATCTATCTGGACTTGTGGAAAGCATTCGACACTGTCCCACACGACATCCTTTTCTCTAAATTGGAGAGACATCAATTTGATGGATGGACCACTCGGTGGATAAAGAACTGGCTGGATGGCCGCACACAAAGAGTTGTGGTCAATGGCTCAATGTCTGGCTGGAGACCAGTAACGAGTGGTGTCCCTCAGGGATCAGTGTTGGGACCGGTCTTGTTTAACATCTTCATCGCTGACATGGACAGTGGGATTGAGTGCACCCTCAGCAAGTTTGCCGATGACAACAAGCTGTGTGGTTCGGTTGATATGGTGGAGGGAAGGAATGCCATAGAGAGGGACCTTGACACCCTTGTGAGGTGGGCGGATGCCAACCTCATGAAGTTTAACCATGCCAAGTGCAAGGCCCTACACCTGGGTCAGAGCAATCCCAGGCACAGCTACAGGTTGGGCAAAGAAGAGATTCAGAGTAGCCCTGCAGAAAAAGACTTGGGTGTGCTGGTCGATGAGAAAATGAACATGAGTACGCAGTGTGCACTTGCAGGCCAGAAAGCCACCCATATCCTGGGCTGAATCAAAAGGATTGTGACCAGCAGGTCAAAGGAGGTGATCCTGCCCCTTTACTCTGCTCTTGTGAGACCTCACCTGGAGTATTGTGTGCAGTTCTGGTGTCCTCAACATAAAAAGGACATGAAACTGTTGGAACAAATCCAGAGGAGTGCCACGAGGATGATCAGGGGACTGGAGCACCTCCTGTATGAAGACAGGACGATAAAGTTGGGGCTGTTCAGCCTGGAATAGAGAAGGCTGCGTGGAGACCTCATAGCAGCCTTCCAGTATCTGAATCGGGCCTATAGGGATGCTGGGGAGGGACTATTTGTTAGGGACTGTAGTGATAGGACAAGGGGTAAAGGGTTAAAACTTAAACAGGGGAAGTTTAGATTGGATATAAGGAAGAAATTCTTTACTGTAAGGGTGGTGAGGCACTGGAATGGGTTGCCCAGGGAAGTTGTGAATGCTCCGTACCTGGCAGTGCTCAAAGCCAGGTTGGACAGAGCCTTGGGTGATACGGTTTAGTGAGAGGTGTCCCTGCCCATGGCAGGGGGTTTGGAACTAGATGATCTTAAGGTCCTTTCCAACCCTAACTATTCTATGATTCTATGATTCTAAAGTACCTTTAATTTTAAAGAACAATGTTAGTGTCATAAGTCTGTGGTGAGATAACAGGATTTAGTGGCCCCACTAAACATGAATGAGTTATTTCACACCATCCTTCTCATTATCAGTTAGAGACAGAGCTTCCCAAACATCTGCTAGCTTGGGATACTCCTTGCCTGCCCATCCTGCAATAAATTTTGCAGGAAGTTCACACTGTTTTAAATCTTTGCTAGTTATCAGAATAATTACAGATATAGCTGGTTGGGTGTCCAACTGTGCCAAAGGTGAAAAGTACTCTGTGAGGAAGACTGCTCACTTCACCTTGAAGACCTCTACTCACAAGAGGAAGACTGATTACTACATCCTCAAGACCCCTGCCCACAATCACCTCAGAGCAGTGCGCAGATGCCAAGAGGAGGAGACTTATGATAATAAATTCTTAGAGCTAGTTATAATATCCCCCACCTACATGCAGGAATTATGAATATGTATGTAACTAATGAATAGTGAAAGTATATAAACCTTTAACAAATACTAATCACTCGCGCCTCTGGCTACGGTCATGCGCCCAGCACTGTTGCTTTTGCTTTATTGACTTTTGTGAGTTACATCAGAGTGATTCGTGTCAGCAACTCAGGGGTCCTAGTGATCATTGCACTTTGTGTGGAGATGGAATCCCTTGTGATCATTGTGCTATGTGCAAAGGGTATGATAAGTGTCCCTGTCAATACCACAGTGAGGAGGAAGGAGAAACAAGGGAATAATTCCCCTGGGTCAACCACAATATTGTGCAAAGAAATGTTTTGTTCATTGTTTAAATTGCATGAATATTCTTAGAAAAGGGGGGGGTAGGTAACTTAGAGATATGTCCTGTTACAGAATGTTGTGAAATCTGTGCGCTGAACAAATAAACACATAAGGAGCGGAATTTATGGGGGCTAAGATGGCAGTCAGACTTGCAATAGACATAATATTTCTTCACCTGGAGACAAGACCCCAACAACAGGTGGAGAAGCCCGGGAAAAGAAGACAACAGGATTGGCTGAAGAAGCCCGGGAAAAGAAGACAACAGAATTGGCTGAAACCCAAGAAGCCTGGGAAAAGAAGACAACAGGATTGGCTGAAACCCAAGAAGCCTGGGAAACCAAAAAGTATAAGAGACTATCCCCAGAAGTTCCCGGTGTGCGTCTTGGGTTGAGCAGAGACTCCCCGGCGCACCCAGCGCTGCTTGCTTATTGTCTCTGATTATTAATTATAATGAAAATCAATTAAAACAGATTGGCTAGGTTTTCATAACACTTTGTTCCTCAATAAAACCTTGTTATCTCATTTAGAGGAGTGAGTTCGTATTTCACAGTTCGTTTGCACCAGACATAATAACCCTCCTGTCCTCCTATTTATTGGTTAGTTTAACTGTACACCTGCCATTCCCAGATACTCCTTATACTCTCAGTATGTTCTCTAACTGTATTCTACTTTTTCTTTCTGTATATCATGCACCTCAGTAATTTTCCATTGCTACTGTTACAAAGCCATCAAACTTAACATTACTTAAAACTGGTTCTAAAGGTTTATATCTTTCATTTTATAATTTTGTGCTCCCCCTTGTCTCACTACCCTGGGGAATGCCATGGTTTGACATGCTCCCAAAGGCAACTTCTGACCACTGCAGAGGCCCCTGGTCATCTACTGCACCTGTGAGGATGCCGGCGGTAATGGATCCCATGATGCCCATCAGCAAAAGTCTCATGGACATGAACCTGCCGTACTTGTGGTGCCGGAGCATGAAAAGCACTAGCAAAGCTGCCGGGACATGGAAGAAGAGGGAGGAGATGAGTGCCCGCAGGAAGACACCATGCCACATCTCTATGGAGAGAAGCGCCATAAGGCTGACGCGGGGCCCACAGGCCTCCGGCAGAGGGAGAGCCTCATATCTGAGAAGGCCCCGCCATGGGGAAGGTACCTGGGAAGGTGGAGAGCGGGCTGGAGTAGGTGGTGGTGCCGTTACCGACATGGAGTAGCAGGCGAAGGCTGCAGGTGTGGAGTACAGTGAGGATGATGTGAGCGAGCTGGTGCGGAAGCACCCGGTGGATAGCCCACGGCCACAAAGCGGCAGGAGGAGCCCCAACGCCCCGCCAGCAGGTACAGCCACCCCTGGTTCCGCACAGGTGCGGAGTCCCTGGTGGGAGAATCCGCGTTGGTGCGGCCCACAGCCACCTTCCCCGGTGCTCGTCCTGCTGGGCGCTGTGGTGAAGTGCTGGGAGATGAGAAACGCTTTTTGTCCTTGTGGTTCAGCACCACAGATCCTCAGGCTTGAAGAACATCGTGCCTGAAACTCCCTGCAGGAGCTAGTTAGTTTCCTTCTAATAAGCCTTTTTAAGTGCAAAGTGTGATAAGCACATAAATGTATTGGCTTTCGCAAATCATAGGTGTTGCTATCATAGGTGGACATAACTGTATGAGTTCGCAATAACAGAAACAAAACTCGCTAAGGACACAAGATTAGACAAAAAGTTAAATGGCCAGAACTCTTAAGCAACATGGAGTCACATAGCAAAATAATTTGTAAAGGTAAAATAAAAGGGGGAGGGAGGGCTTGATATGAGGTAAGCTAGTGCCTGGAAAGCATAGGGTTAAATTTCTTTTAGCTTAACTTAGGTCGAAGATAAAGAGCAATGTTTGTGTTGTAAGTCTGTGGTGAGATAACAGGATTTAGTGGCCCCACTAAACATGAGTGAATTATTTCACACCATCCTTCTACTTATCAGTTAGTTTGGAGACAGTGCCTCTAGAACATCTGCTAGATTCAGATACTCCTTGTCTGCCCGTCCTGTTTTGCTTGCAGTAAATTTTGTACGAAGGTCACACTGTTCTAAATCTTTGCCAGCTATCAGAAGAATTACAGATATGGCTGGTTTCATCTAGTTGTGTGATTACTGGGGCATCCAACTGTGCCAAAGGTGAAAAGTACTCCGTGAGGAAGACTGCTTACTGCACCTTGAAGACCCCTACTCACAAGAGGAAGACTGCTTACTTCATCCTCAAGACCCCTGCCCACAATCACCAGAGAGCAGTGCGCAGATGCCAAGAGGAGGAGACTTATGATAATAAGTTCCTGGAGCTAGTTATAATATTCCTCGCCTATACGCGGGGATTATGAATATGTATATGGCTAATGCAATAGTGAAAGTATATAAACCTGTAACAAATGCTAATCAGTGTGCCTCTGGCTACGGTCATGCGCCCAGCGCTGTTGCTTTTGCTTTACTGACTTTATCCCTCAATAAAACCCTGTTATCTCTATTAGAGGAGTGAGCTCCTATTTCACAAAAGCTCTTTTGGTGGAAGAAAATTTCTGTGTATATAGTTGTCCTGGGTTCAGCAGTAGCAGTCATTTTTCTCCTTCTTAGTAGCTGGTGCAGTGCTGCGTTTTTGACTTTCAGCCTGGGAACAACGCTGATAACATCGATGGTTTTAGTTGTTGCTAAGTAATGTTTACTCTAACCAAGGACTTTCTGAGTCTCATGCTCTGCCAGGGAGGAGGGGAAGCCAGGAGGAAGCAGAGACAGGACACCTGACCCAGACAAACCAAAGAGGTATTCCATACCACAGAACATCATGCCCAGTATATAAACTGGGGGCAGTTACTCGGAAGGGCTAGTTCACTGCTCCGACTGGGTAGTGAACATTCTTTCGATTCTTCTCCCCATCCCTCCGGGAGCTGGGGGAGGAAAAAGGGGGGGAGCGAGCAAGCGGCTGTGTGGTTTTGAGTTACCAGCTGGGCTTAAACCATGACAATAGCTTATTTAAGGCTGGTTTCTATCCAGGTCAGGTTCTTCTCTTGTGGTTCCTGCAGTAGTCCAGAGCCCATTATAACCTTACAGGGACACGCATGCGTGTGTCAGTCCACTTCAGGGGGACAGCCTGCTTCAGTCCTGTGGTGTTTTCTGAACAGCACTGTCTTTTAATTAGGCAGCTTTACCCCCAAGACAAGGGGAATTGCCCCAGGTAGACTGTCTTACTGTAAGTATAAAATACCATGTTGCTTTACCGTTCAGCTCTGCAATAGTGTTGCAGCACCTCAGTGCGTATATATTTTTTTTTTTTTTGGCATCTGCTTCTAGGAAGAAGAAGAAAGGAGGTCTCGCTAGAGCCAGATGAGAAAGAAGAAGAAAAGGCTCAACAAAATGAAGAGGTGAAGAGGAGGAGGAGGAAGTGGATGATGTAGAGCAGGTGAAAAGAAGAAAAGAAGAAATAAAAAAGAAAGGGGATGCTCTTTGGGCCAGTTTCCTTAGCAGTGTTGGACAGAAACCCAAAGCAGTGGCTGCTACTCAGGCTGAGAAGGTAACAGGGCCCTGGGCTTTCACCCAGGGAGGGTGGGAAGGGCCTGAAGCTTTAGAGCAGGCAGTGTGGGCTCTACTTGGTACCAGGTGTCAGTCAAAGCTGGGAGAGGCTGGGTTTACCACTGCCCTATGTTCTTTGCCCCATGATGAGGCTCCAGGCTTACAGACTGGTTTCCTTCTGGCTGGGGAGGTCTGTGATCTGGCAGTGCTGATTCTGGAGCTGCTTGTCAGCATCTTGGAATGCCCTTACAGAGCCCTGCTGGTTTCCCTTCACAGACCTGGATTCTCTTTGTGATATAGGAGCAGCATAGTGAGCTTTGGTTTGAGCTGTGCTGATGGGCACAGCTCTCCCCTGAGGCTTGTGCCTTTCTTGATGCTCAAAATAAAACCAACAAAACAGGGGGTCTGTGTGTATGTGTGAGTGAGGAAACTGAAGAGACTCCTGCTGACATCTCTGTGCTTTGCTCCTCATCCTCTTACAGTGAGGGGGGCTGGAAGATGCTGTGTGTTGGGATGAACTCTGGTAACAAGAATGAATCGAGCTTTCTCTAGCTTCCTTTATAAGCCCTGTAATATGCTCTTGCTCCCTGTCTGCAGAGGTTTTCTGTAGGGAGAATTGTGTGTATAATCAGGTATTTAAAAGGTTTTGGTTCTTAATAAAACCAAATGCATGTATTTTCCTTGCAAAGTCATTCACATGGAAGGTGTTAGAAGGGAAGGGTACCAAAACTCACCCTCTGTTCCTCAAACTGTCTTTTGTTTTTTTCCCCTTTTTGACTGGTCAGACTAAAAGGTATTTTGTAACTGTCCTGGGTTCAGCAGTAGCAGTCATTTTTCTCCTTCTTAGTAGCTGGTGCAGTGCGGTGGTTTTGACTTTCGGCCTGGGAACAGCGCTGATAACACAGATGGCTTTAGTTGTTGCTAAGTCATGTTTACTCTGACTTCTGAGTCTCATACTCTGCCAGGGAGGAGGGGAAGCCGGGAGGAAGCAGAGACAGGGCACCTCACCCAAACTAGCCAAAGAGATATTCCATACCACAGCACGTCAGGCCCAGGATGTAGAACTGGGGGCAGTTGCTTGGAGGGGCAAGACCACTGCTCAGGTTGGGCTGGGTATCGGTCAGAGGGTGGTGAGCGGTTGTATTCTCTTCCCTTGTTATTTCCCTTATCTTTATTATTATTAGTGGTAGCAGTAGGGGTTTGTGTTATACCATAGTTACTGGACTGTTCTCATCTCAACCCATGGGAGTTAAATTCTTTCGATTCTCCTCGCCATCCCTCTGAGAGTGGGGGGGGGGGACTCTCCCCTTCCCTGCTCCCGGAGGGATGGGGAGGAGAATCAAAAGAATGCAATTCCTGTGGGTTGAGACAAGAACAGTCCAGCAAACAATGTACAACACAAATCACCACCGCTACCACCAACGACAACAATGATAAGAGAATATAACAAGGAAAGAGAATACAATACCACCCGCCGAAAAACGAGTCCGACCCAGAAGACCCCATGTCCTTCCAGGTAACTCCCAGTTACCTCCCTGGGCATGACATGCTGTGGTATGGAATACCTCTTTGGCTAGCTTGGGTCAGGTGTCCCGTCTCTGCTTCCTCCTGGCTTCCCCTCCTCCCTAGCAGAGCATGAGCCTCACAAAGTCCTTGGTCAGGGTAAACATTACTTAGCAACAACTGAAAACATCGGTATTATCAGCACTGTTCCCAGGCTGAAAGTCAAAACACAACACTGCACCAGCTACCAAGAAGGAGAAAAATTAACTGCTACTGCTAAACCCAGGACACCTAGGTAGAAAACTCAGGTTTGGGTTAGTTGGGCCTTTTGTTTGGATACCCTATAACCATTCAGTCCCAGAAAATGTAATAATTCCACTGTTCACTGGATACATTCTTCCTTTGTTTCTGTAGCAATTAATAAGTCATCTACATATTGTAACAGGGTCCCCATCTGAGTAGGTGGCTTCCATGATTCTAGTTCCAGTGCTAAATGATTTCCAAAAGTTGCTGGACTGTTTTTAAACCCTTTAGGAAATACTGTCCAAGTTAATTGAGTTTTTCTTCCTGTGTCAGGATTTTGCCATTTGAAAGCAAATAATTTGGCTTTCTTTGATCAGTGGTAAGCAAAAGAAAGGGTTCTTTAAATCTAAGATGGCAAAGCATTTCTGATTATTATTCAATTTAGTCAATACGTCATACAAATTAGCTACTACTGGACAAATATCCTCTGCACTTCTGTTGATTGCCCTGAGACCTTGAACCGATCTGCAACTTTTCTCCATCATATTTCTTTACTGGCTTTGATCTTCTAATTTTAGGGGATATTGTTTTATTCTAATTGGGCAGCCCCCCCCCCCTCCCCTTTTTATTTCCACTTTAACAGGCAAAGTATTTTTCGCCTTACATGGAACTTCAGATGCCCATAGTCCCAGATATACCTGATTAAGGATTTCTGCTATTTCAGGAAGGTCCTCCTATTTGCTTTTTCTGTTGAATTAAAGATAAACTCAAAACTGCAATTAACTGATTTTTTTTTTAACTCTAAATTCCATTTTGCCTTCTTTAAATGTTGCTTCTCGCCCTAATAAAGATTTTAGAGAATTTGGCATGCATAAAAATTTATGCATTCCTATTTATTTTCCCAATTTGTACTTTAAAGGTTTCAGAAAGAATGCCTCT